CAGATGGAAAACTGTGGCCGGTGAAGTTGGTTCGACCACAGCCTTGGACCAGTTATTACGGCACGTGCATGTAAGTGACCTTTCTAGTTTACGTCATCATAGTTTTCATTTTATGATGACGACATCAGGATATAAAAAGATGAAGGATAAAAAACCGATCTTTCGAATAATCCACGAAAATTATCTGAGCGATCTAGTATTTGGCGATTGCTGATAAATGCCTGCAAATGCGTACTGGTTCAAGGCACAGATACATATCTCTCCAACTTTGGATACAGTGTTAGTTCATCTTAAACCCTAGTACTGCATACGAGCAGCGAGCTGCTATCTAAAATACAGTGACCCGTTGAATAAAGTCAGCAGAAACGCAACCAAGTCGAGTTCCAGAATCGTAAATTCCTCATAAGACGAAAAGTTTCACGACCCCTAGGCAAATTACTTGCCACCTGACTACCAACTTTTGCACCAAGTTATCTTTCAATGGAATTCCCTACCTCAACACGTCATTGAAGCCCCTGAAGATGCCACGGTTATTTGGAGTTTGACAGCGTTTTAACCAGTAACAACTATGAATCGTACCCACCTGGTGAAATCAAATGTCAGAAGCGAAGAGGTTCGAAGATATATTTGATAGGCTATCAATATGTCGAGAATCAACTGATATAGACCGGCTGGCGACTGCAGAGGATGTTGAGTACGGCGTTCTCACTCGTGATCTGATACGTTTGCATTACCTAGCGCCTTCAGCTAGGTGAGTCCACTAAAACTAATGTGGTCAGCATCCAATGTCGAAGACTTACAGGACTATTGATTTTGGGATTTAGTTACCGCTACATCACATTTGTTAATCCACCTACGAGAAGGTTGACACAGCTGAAAGACTAGCAACTCCAAGATTAAAGAAGGTCGCCCAGTATTCTGTCTTGCACATCCTGAAGTTGACCAGACGTCATAACATTAAAGAGTGTTGGATTAACCGAAAAGCCGCCCAGTTATTTACTTCAAGTGGTTCAAATGGTTGTGGACGGAATAGAGGAAGCTTTCGCTTTACAGGCTTCCGTGTTTAGTAGCAGGGGATCACGAATAACTCCAGGCATGAACCTAGGTATTTTAGCGATAAACGTGGAAAAAGAAATTGGTAAATCATAGTATGATACTATCCTTCGACCTTAAGAGTAGATCAAGTTGCCTCTTAAAGAACTCCTGGGACGTCGCTTGGGCTAGTTCAGTCGGCGGAGAATTCCAGCATTTGACAACTCATAAGCAGTAGAAGTTGTGTCTACAGTCCGTTCTGCTTTGTTGTGTTTCCAATTTCTGGGTGTTACCCCTTAGGTTGGTATTGGGACTAAGCTTAAGTAGGTGTTTAAGATACTGTAAGCCATCAGAAGGTCACGTCTGAGACGCCCATACTCTAATGGGTAAAGGTTAAGTGATTGGAGGCGCTCTTCATAAGGTTTAAATTTGAGTCCCCGAACTGACTTCATGGCTCGCCATTGGATACCCTCCAGAGTTTCCTTATCCTTTTGGAGTGAGGGAGGAAAGACTATGTTTCTGTACTCTAAATGGAGACGGATAAAACTTGAAGATTATATGGAAAGCTCTTCCGTCAAACTGGCCAAAAATGCGCTTCAATGTTACCAGTGCAAGGTTTGCTCGAAAGGCATTTTGTCACAGTTAGCGTAGGACTTTAAATTGCAGGACACCAGGACTCCCAAATCTTTTTCGACTCGGAATACTATTAGAGAAGAGTTTCCTGAGTTGTAACTAAAGTCTGCGACATGCCGCAGATGGACTATTATACACTTTGAAGTGTTAAAGGTAAGTCTGTTATCGTCTGCCCAACTTTGAAGTCGAGTCAGATCCTCCTGAAGTGCTAGTATATCGTTTTGGTTGCATATCTCTCTCCAAAGTTTCACGTCATCGGCAAAAAGTAATAATTCTGACGTTACCTGTTGAGGAAGATCATTTATGTAGATCAAGAAGAGAAGAGGTTCTAGTACTGAACCCTGGGGGACCTCACTAGGACATTCCATAGCCTGAGATAAAGTGAAATTAACCCTGAACTTAAGATGTCGATTTCTCATGTATGAGGTAAGCCGAAGGATTAGAGGTGATCTGATACCCAATCTTTTTAGTTTATTGATAAGACATGCATGGTTAACCTTATCAAAGGTTTTGAGAAATCTAGGTAGATGATATCAACCTTTTCCTTGCGATCGAGGATGTTTGTCCATCTGTCCACCGCAGTCAGCAGGTTGGTTATACAAGAGTAGCCCTTCCTGAAACCATGCTTTTGGGATGAGAAGAAATTTAAGGACAGTAGATAGTCATTTAAACCATCGCATATCAGGGACTCCATGAGTTCTGAAGGTGATGACGGAAGAGCCACCGGCCGATAACTAGAAGGTTCATTGAGTCGACTTCCTTTGAAAATTGGTGTGATGTGAGCCAACTTCCAATTTTCCGGTAGTTTGCCTCGGCTTAGCGAGTGTGAGAACATCGCGCTAAGCGTATGCAGTAAGAAGTCCTAATGAATATCCACATTGAGTTGATGGTGAACATCCCAAGCCATCTGTTGTAGATAGTCATGTAGAGCTGACACATTCAACTGTTTGAAATTCCAGCGCATGTTGGTGGTGGGATATCTTAGCTCAGTTTTGCTGACAAAACTGTAGGCTAGAACGACGCAATAGCTTTTCCCCAGAGGAGCAAGTTTTGAGAGGTTGTCAACTAGGAATTCTTCGTTTGTAAATACAGTCTAAGCGCGACGGTGTCTGACTGTTTCTCCACGAGTTGCCGACTTCGCATTTTCGTGTAATCCCAAATTCTCATTGAGATTGAAGAACCGAGCTTCGGTTGAGTTCTCATCTCCAATATACGTACGTTCCGCGAAGCTGACTATAGGGTCAGGATATGAGTGAAACCGAGACGTGTAGAGCGGGATAGTCTTTCCAGCATACGACTGTCATAGTTGATGTCGGCAATGGGCTTCCTATAGATAACCCCGTCTAGGCAACTCGAAGTGGTAGACAATCTTACAGAGCACAATATGGATTTTTCAAGATTGTTAAATTCGAGGTTGTGAGCTTGGTGCACCTCCAAGCAAGATCATATGTATGCGGCTACTCCATCCCCAATTCCTGTTTTTCTATCGTCGCGAAACAAAGACATCCCAAGTATTGCTAGCTCCTGGTCCGAGAACTGAGAAGATATCCAAGATTCAGATATTCCCATCAGATAAGAATTAGTAGCATTGCTATGTTCACGTAGCTCATCCATTTTGCTTGGTAGACTCGCGGGGTTCATGTATAAGCAGTTTATGCTCCCAATTTGAAACGCGTGAGCTTTTTCCTGTTTGTCTGTGTGAGCCTTACGTGAATGGACAGGTAGCCTACCTATATAAGGTTTGCCGAGTTGGTAGGCCCTGTCTTCCATACGCTTTTTCATCATCAAGACAGTCCATAAGTGAAATAATCAGCTCTGACTTGCCTTTGTGCTTGGTCCCGGCTTTATATGGTCTGTCCGGGTGCATGTGGATTCCAGTTGGCAACCGACGTCTGTTGGTACAAAATGCTTCCAGAGTTACAGCTGTCATATGGGAGATGTGAAAGTTATCCTCATTAGCCGGGTCTAGAATCACCGTACTTCTTTGCTAGTCTCGTCACATGTTGAGTCAGTATGTTTTTGAGCCTCAAGGACTGTTTGATGAATTTCCAATCCCTAATATCAGAGTCTGCTTGACTAGGGTTCGTGTTTTCCGGTACACCTTGAACAATTATATTTCTTTCGCGGAAAAACTTCTCACGAGATTCTTTAGGGATGTTCCAGATGAGATTGCGCTCAGAAAACGGTATGTCGGGCAGTATTCTTACGTTCAAATCGGATTTCAGTAATTGACTAGCTAGCAGGACATCCTCTACGTCGGTAGCATTCTTAAGTGTTACACGAAGTGGACTAGCTTAGATTCCTTTCCCCGAGTGGGCCGTGTGACCGTCAAAGGCTCTATTCTAGGAAGTTCAAGTCTCTTATTCAATTCACCCCAGAGCATCCTGTCATTTTTGTCCTGCGAACTGAGAGGAAGGTCAGGGTTGTCTTTAAGGTTCATGATTATGAGAGAGTCATCAGGAACCGTTATTGTTTTCCCAGGTTTTCCTGTGCGTTCAGGTTTAGCACCTTGTTTTTTGGAGGTCGAAGCACGTTTCTGAATCCTAGGCTCTTTGGTGACCGGACGGACATTCTTGGGAGTAGACTGTGAGACCAAATCACCAGCTGATTTCCGTACAACACCTGGGATGTTAAGCTTAGACGGTGACGCCTGGTCCTTTTTAGCTCTTTTAACGTGGGCCCAATCACCTGCAGAGTTTTTGGGGACAGCTGTTGCATTCAATGACCCTGAGCTGGGAGACCCGAGTTTACTGAGGGAGTCGATTACCGTCAACGTAATGATGGTGCTGAGTTTCAACATGTCATAATTAGTGCTAATGCATGCTCCATCGATGGTAGACCTGTCGACGTCCCTATTCTTGTTTTCGTTGCGCGCCCCTGTTTGTCTATCCGTTTTATGACTGTCCCTTTCCAAGTTTGCTGACAACTTACTCCGCAGACCTGTCAATAGGACAATGTTGTTACTCAGTAAGACTACAGCATCCGTGCAGCACGTAACACATTCCCACTTATGATCCGACCTGCTGAGTCTGTTGTAAGCGGTTGACTTTCTTGAAATTATAATATATTGAATCCTAACAAGTTTGTTGACATAACTGACGATTTGTTGTTGCATCACAAAAACGGTGAACTATTATAATAACAAAATATGTGAGAAAGAAGTAAACAAATTTATATTATTTTAGATAAATTTCAAAAGACTGTAAGTAGAAGGTCTTTCGAAGTGCTTTTAGTCTGTGGTAAGTCGCCTCATGAAACACAAGACGCTCTATAGCTTTTCATCAGTCCTCCAAAGTTGTTTAAGTGTCTCAAATGTGCGCAGTAAAGTAAGCAGGTTTTCGAAATTCTGTATTTGCACCTTTTTGACATGTCCTGTATTCTGTGCATAATGTGATACTTCATCTGTTTCTAATTGGATTCAAACACTCCAAAAATGTGGATGAAGTTTCGTTGGAATAAGTGTTACCTTCTCAGAAACTGTATTTTCAATTATTTTGTATTGGTTTTGATGTTACAATTTCGCTGCCAAATGGGCTCGGTAGTCGCCACTTTTTCTTCTAAGTATTCTGATGAAAACTCTGTTCCTTTTGCATTTACTTCACCACTTTATGAAACAATGTTAGTTAATGATGGAAGTTTGCACCGATATATTATTCCCACCCGTCATCATATGGGTGTTTCCGAACCATTCAGTGGGAACCCATCTGGTGATGTCGTATTTAACATCATGGATTTTGATGCTCACAGTTCTTTTCGAGCTGCTTGCAAGAAACTCGGAAAATTTTTCTTTTTGCATCTTTATGCTTCATCTGATAGTCCAGCTATCAAGAAGAAGCCAAATTATCGATTCAAAGTTGAGGCAGTGTTCACTTCGCACAACCATTCATCAGTTACCCCAATCCGATTAAGCAATACTACCGAAATTATCGTAAACGTCATAGCTGTTCATGAAAACTGTCCTATCTTCACCAGAAATTTCCATCATTTCGATGTTCCTGAAAACATAAGCGTCCAACAGTCTATAGGAAAGTTATCTGCAAGTAGTTCAGGTTCCAGCGTAAGTGCACAGAATTTGTTTTATATGGATCCATCCGAACTCGATATCCCTTTTCGGGTTGACTTGTATTCAGGTGATATATTCCCCACTCGTCCTTTGAACAGTCAATACGCAAAGATTGGTTATCCAGAATTTATTCACGGAAAATCGGAAACCGAAAATTTTAGGTTTTTAAATTATACTTTCAGTGTTTCTGTTGTGAGTCGTGGCGGCAGTGATCGTGTACGCTGTAATATGGTTATTGCTACAAGAGTTGAAATATCGATCACTAAGTTCCGGCATTCAGATTTATCAATAAAGGTTGAACATCTTAAAGAAATTACCATGCCGGGTGCGGCCGGTGTAGCTTATGCTCGTGTTCACGTTGTTGGCTCACCGTCTTCTGTTGGCTCAGCAATTGGACTCAGGATTTCAGAACCAGATATGAGAGAAAAGTTTGAACTAGTGTCAACAAGTAAGAAAAATGAATGGGTAATTCAGGCTAAGTATGATATACACTCTATTTCACTAAATTCGTGGATGCTGATAACGTTGGAAGCATACGAGGTCCCCAGGTTTGTTACCAAATGGGATGAAAATCTGAATGTTTTCACAGGCCGTTTGTCTCGTCTAAATGTTAATATTCCTTTGGTTTTCAAGTCTAAATATAAATTATCTTTGCCCTCAGAAATAAGAATTCGTTTATCAGAGGCTGCCATTGTGAATTCAACTATAGAGGTTCTAAGGCCATCAGCGATTTTTAATATGACCAATGCAAGCTTTGTGTTTACAGATCTTCGTAGTCAAAATCAAAAATCGGAATCCAAAGAAAAGATAAGGTTGACAAAAAGTGGTTCTCTTGTGGTTGTGCAGCCACTTGATTTAGAGAATGATGTTTCTGTCCAAAAATCACCTCAGGCTCATGTCAATAACGTAATTACCATTCCTTTTACTGTTGTGGATGGCAATAATTTGTTATTAAGCAGTGCACCAGAGTCGCGTATCATTGTTGAGGTTTTCGACATAAATGATTTAGATCCTGTTGTGCAAAACAATGGTTCTGTATTTGAAGTACCTGAAAATGTCTCTTTGAATTCGCATGTACTTTCAGTTATCGGATACGATCCTGATGTGTCACATACAGATCTTTCTTATGTCCTATATGATGCTGACATCTTACCATTTACATTAATTGGTCCTCGTAATGATAAACTGGTAGTATCGAAGCCTCTCGACGCAGAAACTATGCCAACAGAATTCATCGTTCGCGTACTTGTGTCAGATTCTGGGATTCCACTCCCTCGTAGCGTTTTAGCCGTTTATATCATTCGAATCCTGGATATTAACGAACACCCTCCAGTCTTTGTGGAAGATTCTTGTGAAATTTCACTTCCAGTCACGGATGAGGGCTCCATTTTCTCCAAAGCAGCACCATCGTCACCGAGCCTTAATATAGGTCGGTATTTCGCTGAGGACTTGGATCGAGATGGTCAGAGTTCTGTTACAATCCACATAGCAGCTAGCAGTTTTCCAAGACCATGTTTCAAAATTGAGGAACAAACAGGTGATCTAAATGTTGTTTGTTCTTATTTAGGTTCTCCAGGAGCTCAAATTCTACTTAATTTATTGGCTTCAGATGGTATGAAAGTTTCCAAAGAATCATGTACATTGTCATTAAATCTAGTTCGTTTTCAAGAAATAGCTGGTACTAATTTCACAAGGCGCTGCAAGTCATCCCATGTTTATGATAAATTACAAGCACTGAAAATACAAAAAAAGAGGTATGAATTTCTACTTAGTCAAAATACCGTTTACGAGCTACAGTTGAATCGCCATCGACCACAATTCCCGACGGACTTACCTACTCGTATACATATTCCTGAAAATCTTCCTATAGGTACAGTTATACTGAGGTTTGCGGCTTCAGATGAGATGGTCCAGACTATTCAATGGCTGGGCAGATCATCTATGGATTAGAAGCTTTGAGGTCAGTGTCCTCTGAAACCGAAGCAGCAACATATATTACAGACGTGGATATCAAACAAGCTTTCATGCTTTTGCCGAATTCGGGGTTATATAGGGAATTCGTTACCAACACAACATTCTGCTGTGGTGTTTCGCTGGTAGTGGCTGCCTCCTTAGATCGGGAAGTAATTTCCAGTTATAGTTTGATTCTACGTGCATGTGACCTTGGTCAACCGCAGTTATGTACTTTTTCTCCACTACATATCTTCCTTGATGATTTAGACGATAATGCCCCTGAATTTTTTAATCCATCTGTCCAACAAAGTAGTAATATGGTCCATATCTCTACGAATCCTTCACTACCAACATCTAATCAGGATAGGGTTTCAGGTATTATTAACGTTCCCGAAGATGCACAGCCTGACACAATATTGGGTCAAGTTCGAGCTGTCGATCGTGATGTTACGAGCGAAGTTCGTTATCATCTGTTAAATTTTCAGGATGTATTTAAGGTAAGTCGCATATTTAAGTAAATAATAGTGGCAAAAAAGTGTTACTTTGTTCCTTTTGTGTTTTAAATTGTCATTTATAATTGGTGTGTGCTATTGTGGATGTTATCATTAAATATGCTAGTCATATCGGCTACTTTTTGTTAGTTGTTTTTATTGGTATATTAGTAAGAGGATTTATGTTTTATCGGCTGGATTCACATGTAATTAATGACCTATTCGATTATTGGTGTCATAAAAGCCGACTGGAGCAGTGGTCAAAGTTAACTTTGCCATATGGTTGGTGCGCCTTAGAATTTGCCTTAAATTGAGAATGATGTCAAGATTTAGATAAACAGACTATAGTATTTTATATCAAGGGAACCACGCATTCACATTCAAATATGTCTGGGGAAAATTCTGAAAGTGTGATTTATTTGTGAACGTTTGTAGTCATATGTTTAGTTGTCATCTAGGCTTAAGTATACAAATGAGAAGGATTAATGCAATTATTTATCTCCGTGTTTTCCACCAAAAGCCAAGGTAAAACTGTATAAGGTCTGCTTTTTTGCCGTTTTGTTTACACTGAATAATAGATTTGGAATAAATCAAACATTTCTTGGGACTTTAGTTATAAACACAATTTGCAGTCTCAGTATTAAACCGCTCTAATCATTAGATGTAGCTAGTTTATCGGGTTATGTGGCTACTCTTTATAAGACCTCATATGTCTACAGCAGTTGAAGGATCTGTTAAACAAAAGATTGTTAGTCATCCATTTCTAATAATAGACCGGCAGGAATGTTTGAAGCTAAAAAGCCTACTAACTAACAGTAAGCAGCAGTAACGCTTACTTCCTTTCAGTGATATGTCTAGATTAAAATATTGTTTATGTCATCTTAAAATTTGATTATCGTCCGAAATTTCTCGTGTTAGGACGTTCTATTTTTATTGTCGTAAATGAACGTGTGGCTAATTGAAACACTATTTTATTCATATTTTAAATTAAACAAACAGAACTGAGAAAGTGAAAAAAAGCAATTGATTTCCTTGATTTTTGTTCAGGATAGGGAAAGGTATTTATTATTCATGTCAATAGTTTGTACCTCCCCTTTGGTTATAGTGCATCGGTAATCGTATGACAAAATGGACATTAATTTAAGATTGCAAACAGATTCCGTTTTCAAAAAAATATAACATTGATATGGTTCTATTTCTGTATACTACTATGGGTTTAGATACATCTGTTCTATGGGTGAAAAGAATGATAGATCTGCATATTTACTTGACCTCGGCCAAAGAAAGCTGTCAGCTATCAGTTTATAGCTTGATGTAGATAATCTTTCAAAGTATGACTTGAATAGTCAGGTATCATGAAAGGTTTGGTATTAAAATGTGTACTACTGTAACAATATTATCCATCAGTTATTCTTACGCGGTAAAAACGACTGCTTTATAAATTAAACTGAATTTGTCAACACTAATAGCGAATTCCAGTAGCCTTAATATCATATTATACTGATCCTTATTTTGATGGGTCAGAGATATTTACTGTTGATTAGTATATTTCATAGTTTCATCAACTGATTTGCGTTATAATTCTAACCGTAGTATTGTCTAGTAAAATCAAATAATTCTCCAGATTTATCATTTCGCTGGCTACATAATTTGACGTTAATATAATTTATAGAGGATTATTTGTGCCAGTAGTGTAGAATATTGGATCTCAATTTGTACTCTTAAAGTTTGGCTAGTGACAGTATAGAGTTTCGGTGTGTCATATCGTAGCAGTACGAGGAACTATATGACGTAATACATAATGAAAGGTAATGTCACATGTGTCATGTAAAGAGAACTTATTTTTATAAGACACAAACTATATTTAAAGTTCCTCTTTGTTAAGGCCTTGAACGGGTACCCTTATATTTAATTGATTTTCACTTTCAAAGAAATTTTTCAAATATGAATTGCAACACTTTTCTATTGGTGTTAAATGGTGTGTAATTAATCCACTCAGTAACTCTATAACGTGAATTTTATTTATTTTCAGATACATAGTCGAACAGGCAAAATCCGTTTGAAAACAAAATTGGATAGGGAGACTCGATCAGTATATGAACTATTGGTGTCTGCAGTCGGCTATCCTCGTGGAAACCATCAACAGTCCCAGTTTAAAATACCATACTTTGATTTTATCCAGGTCTCTCAAGCGGTCGACTATGATGTTCGACGCTCCGCAAATACGCGTATCAATATAATCGTAACTGATGTCAATGACAATCCTCCAGTATTTTACTCCCCTGGTCTACCTCAAGAACATCAATATCTATATAATAATTCATCTGGAATTACCGGTTTGAATGCTTGGCTAGGGACTGATGGATATATTGTCTACGTGCCTGAAGATATCCCAGAAGGTGCTTATATAACTACGTTGATGGCTACCGATAGAGATGAAGGTATGAACGCTTTGATCAGATATAGTCTATTCGGGAAGCAAGAGAGCAGTGCAAATTGTTTTCATACAGATCAGATGACTGGTGTTGTTCGTTTAGCTGCAGGATGTGATTTGCATAGAAGTAGTCGTAGTCATGTTCTTACAGCTTGGGCTATGGATCATGGTGCATCGCAGCTGTATGCCAATATTTCATTCATTGTTCATGTCTTGTCTGTCAAATTGAATATTTTTCCACCTCGTTTCATGGCACACCCAGCTCTGTTTAGTGGATGGATACGTGAAAACCAACCTTCTGGAAGTTTCGTTTTTTCAAAGCGTGATCTTGCATCTAAATTGCAACTGAAAGCAATTGATGCAGAAGGTAGCAATGTAATTTTTGTTGTAGTTGGGGGGTCAGGATTCGGTCTGTTTGGTGTGAACGATAATGGTAAGCTGAAAGATAAATCATTATTAGTTATTATCAATATTGACTAGTTTAAATAATGTCACACCTGCTTCCAAGCTTTTAAAACATGTGCACTTTGATTTTAAGTAAACATTTCGTTCGCAAGACGTCAGAAACTATAGTGGGTTACAAACCTGAAAAGCACAGATTTGAGAAGATAAATTCCAAAATTAAAACTTCGTCATGAATTTCCGGGCTTCGTAAGCCCTATCGTAGGCTATAGGGACAAGGAAAATACTCTTAAATGATATTTGATTATTTCAAGTAAAATAAAGTATTTAGACTCACACTGGTTACCCACGTTTAGCCTTTGGTGTACGAATGTATCAATGTATGGTGTACAGACGTGATGGTTCAGGCTTTCATGTGATATCCAGATAAGTATAATCTCAGTACCTGGAAGTTGCTTCGGTAGTTATTTAAAGTCTATCTTAAGGACGCTTATTGAGATGCGCAAAGTATTAAACTACTCATTTTTATTTAATTTTTTAATATATATTCTTTCGGCGATACTGCTTCCTTCTGACGTTTTAGGGATCGATCTACCAGAGAATTCATCTATTGACTTAGAGTGTGTAGAAAATATCGCCCTATTTGATGAAGACTGACCTAGCGCAGAGTCTTATAATCTAATGACCACAGAACAAATATACCGACCAACAGTCCGCTCTTTTCTACTTTATAGCTCTAACACATGGCTTTTGAAATAGGTACATTTGTAGGTTGTCAGTATTTGATAATAGGTGTCTTTGGAAACAGGATACCGTGCAACAACTTAGTGAGCAATGCTGAAGTAAGTCATAGGGTACGAGACAAAGATAACCAATCAGTTAGTGAGGTAATCGATCTTCATCAAACAAGATGGGTAGGATATATATTAGATATGCCCAGCCGGATGGAAGAAAGCTAAGGAAGCCCAAATCAAGGCATGACATTAGTGTATGGAGCCACTGACTGTTAGACTGGACAGTGTTGTCGGGTCGCAAACTATCTACCTGGTGTCAGCGCAGTTATTGTGACCAGCAATTAAAGACTATGAAGTGCATGACTTAGAGTCGGTAGTAATGGTGCATATACATTCACTGTTGACTTCCCTTGGAGCTTGAGTTTCAAATTACCTTATACCTTTTATTCTACTCATTCTTTCTTATCAATTCATTTGTATATCTCATCTTTTTTACCAATCACGATACTGCTGCTACTCTAAAATTTGTCTTGACAATTTCTCTGTGCTGATATGATGCATCAACTTGAGTCGATGCATGTATGTGGAGGGTTCTAATTCGCTTATTACTCACTGATTAATCGACATAATGGATTGTCGCGTCATTCTTCATGATTATTCATCTTGTTCGTGTTTCTCCACTCTTGAAGATTTTACAATGAATTTTGTTGTTTGGTGATTAATTCGTCACTATTATTCAAAACATTCATTTTGGTGTTCTGTTTCTTTCCATATTTCATATTTTTCTTTGGACATTATGCGCTTCTTATGTCTAGACATTTAACATCATTCAGAATTTATTTTTATTATTCTCATTTCTTCGTGAGCGATGCTTTTAACCCATCAACATTTTATGTCGTTTTAAGGTTTCATATTCAATACACGAGAAATAGATGCTGAGTCAATACAAGAAGATGGAGGATTTTGGTTGGTAATTTATGGGCTTGGATCGCAACATCCATCCACGTCCTCTTCATTTGTTTCTGACACCGTGGAATCCTATATGGTTTCGTCTGAATTCAGTGGACCATTGTATGCGATTGCCGAGCTATTTATTGAAGTAAATTTCACTCTCAATGTAATATTTTTGCCTCGTAAATATAGTTTTAGATATCTGTGTCATACCTATTCCAGTCTAGTTGATATTTTTCAGTTTCTTTCATTGGAAGCCATTTTATTTCCAAATCTCCATTTAAAATGTCAGTTCTCAAAATGAAACTCCATATGTTTGTCTTAATAGTTTCAACAGATTCTTGAATTAGTTTGTTATATGAACTTCATCGAACCAGACATCAATTTTCGCGTTATTCGAAACTTAATTTTATCATGTACTTTATGAATTCTTGGATTGGTTTAATAAATAAGCAGGATCCATTAACTCCAATTATGTTCTGTTGGGTTAATTTAGTGAAATAGGACTAATATATTTTGTTTAACTGAGTTAAGAATCGTCCTTTATGAATTAGCCTGTTATCAAGCGTCTATCTGATACTTTGCACTGATTAAACTTAGTACTGGGCTTCTAAACACTGTTGATTGTTATTTTTTAAAATCTTGTTGTTACTTTATGAACAGGCTAGTTTTTACCTCATTTTATGAAACAAATCTATCATTGTGTTGTTCTCCAAATTAACCAAGTTCAGTAAGTTCGTTTAAGTCAAATGAAAGGCAAACAGATTAATAAGCATAGCACAATAATTTTCTGCACAAACTTACACAATCTACACTATTTAGGTCATACATATTTTGGGATGTGATACATCACAAATTTATACATTTTGTTGACTGATATCTGTTTTTTTGAATTTTAGGTCGTTGATGAAAATGATCATTTTCCTGTATCTCTGATTCCACAATACTGCCATCACTTGTTGGAAAATTCACCTGCTAATATTGTAGTAACTCATATTGTCGCTTCTGATTCTGATAAAAATAAAAATAACTTGACATATATAATAACAGCTGGTGATCCTCAAGGTCACTTCATGGTCGACTTAAAAACAGGTTTGTCTCTTAGGTGTTTGTAAGCTTCAGTTTTACTTGTATATGTTAAATTAACTGTGTTTGTTAGGCGTAACCCTAAATGCTTCACTGTTAAACACTATTTAGTTGTCAAACTCTAAAATATTTACTTATGTTATCAGGTGTGTTGACAACAACAGAACGTTCATTGGATCGCGAAGCAGTTCTAAAAGATACTGGAAGAGTCGAATTGAATCTTGTGGTAAGTTGTGTTGCACAGTAATCTGATGGGTATTTATAAGTTTTTATACTGAATACAAATCTCATTTAGTCCATTTAAAATAAGATGCCACTTACATTTCGTCCCTGTACATACCTTAATAGGGTCCAGACTCTAGAACCAACTTTTTTCGGTTTGTAGTGTTTGTGTGACATGGTAAATTACGCATAACTACAAGGATATATTGTCCAACTCCTCGTTCCCAAAACCGTGCACTTTACACAGTTTAAGAATTTAGAGCTGGAGAAAGCTGAATCGCCATTGTGCTTTAACTGAGAGCTACCCAACGTAACATCTTATTTCATTGTAAAGTAGAAGATAGTGACTTTTGGTCTCAATCTGAGAAAGTGGTCATTTATTCAATGGAATTCGGTAGTTGCATTCCAACTCTATTATTGATCTTACTGAGCTACACACCATAAGAGTCAGTCAGTCAGTCAGCTACAACGTAGGACTAGGCACATATGTGCATCGGTCCAGGTTGCCATACCGCATCAGCACAACAAGATGAACACTGGATTCATAGCAGTGGTTAGGTCAAAGGTGGTAATAAATAAGAGGAATATTGCATATAGAGATATAGTACAAGAAGAAAGAATTGGTTCGTAGAAAGAAAGATATGAAGTGATTTCAATCTCTTAGTTTAAGGGAAGACAGGGAGTGTATACACCGACGCCATTGTGATCGATTCTGAGCCATGTCACCAAGAGTCTCCAACCACCATAAGAGGTCTCAATACAAAATGAAACAGCTTTCCAGCAATCCTTCACTTTAATTGTTTCTTTAACTGAAACGACAGATTTTTAAATTGTTTAATTATTATTAATAACTGACGAGTTTATGAATTGCCATTTCGCAGTGTTACGTAAACATTTATTTCTTTACGACTGTTAGATCTATATTGTGTATGATTCTTTCAAGGTTAGCGTATCCGATGCTCAGTCAAATCCACGATCAACTGAAGTTTCAGTTAAAGTCGAATTAATGGACGTAAACGATAATTCACCTCAGTTCGTTCATACTGCTCCAAGTGAATTTTCAAAATATATTATGGGTGCAGAGATCCCTTTCTACTTTTTTCAGTATTACGCAACAAACGGTAAGTTTTATCTAATGTTGGTTGGATGCGTAATTTCTATTTCCTAATCCTACTTTAACAATTTTTTTCGAATGATTATTTAATTGGAGTACATTTGGTTATAAAATTTGACCAGACTCACAGGATATTTTGATTGGGTCTAGAAGTGGATTATTTAGTTCCACGAGTACTGATCATCTGGTTACAGGCAAAATATCAACATAATATTTTCACTCCTTTGTTAGTCCTGACTAATTATTTGTCTATTCTTCGTATAAGTATTTATTTCGGTCGATTATACGGTTGTGAGCATACGAGTACTTAAGCAAATTCATGTAGTGTTTATAAAGTACTACTTATGCTTAATAGGAGAGTGCAAATTTCGATTACTGCTAATAAAATTTAATACACAGTAAATATATGTCTTTCCGGGCTTTCAAATTTGGCATGAGTTTTTAATATAAGGTATACTATCAAGTTGTACAGTTGGTGATTTTATTTCTTTGCTTTGGGATATGTATCTAGTCCTACGTTGTAGCTGACTGACTGAATGACACTTAACAAAATAGGTATATCATGTATTGAGAAATGATCTGTGATACACACTAAAATCAACCTTGATATTAAAGTTTGCTTGTTCATTGGTTTCTGTCTATCTTTTACAACTCTAGCTCATTCACCACTATTTCTTATGGAGTTTTATCACCTAGTCTGTATCCTAGATGTATCACAAGTTTTTTCAATAATAAATATCTTTTTATATCAGTTTTGTTTTGTAACAATCCAGAATAAATCATTTCATATTGTCATAATCTAATCTGTAATACAAACCCCTGCTGAAAGTGTTTCATAAGTCTATGATTTATTCTATTTACTGTACTACAGTGTAACAGAAAGTATCACTATCGTTTTTAACATTAATAACAGAAAATAGTTTAAAACACTTTCTCATTGGTTCGGTAAATAAAAAATAGTTTTGATAAGTACGCTATTTGATAACAGATTACAGAATACCAAGAATAATCTTATGATAAGTCGAATATGTTTAATAATTCCCAATTATTCACTGTTTCTCTTTGTTTTATTTTACTCTCCAAAGAACTTTTAAGTCGCCTTGCTATGTGTCATGGCACACTAGTTGAGTCTCCTTTTTTTCTCTTTTGATTAACATCATACAGCACCATTAATTTTGGTGGCTACCATCTGGAAATGGTTTTCCATTCCTTATTCGTAGATAATTCAATTTATGGTTTAATTTTCTCTTTTTGTTGTTGTTGTATGTCTTTGTAATTACAACATATTGTTTTGATTATAGTCTTGAACTAATTGTGGTGCATCCCCTGACTGGAAAGTGTATATCTAACAGCTGTTTTCTTTTATTATTTGTTATATATATATATATATATATATATATATATATATATATATATATATAATTTTTAACTCTTTCATATCTTGCTAAATTGATTAGGTATCTTTGACTCAGTGACTGCCTGTATTAGGTATTTCTCAATCTAGTATGTTTTTTGTATTGATATCTTTCAAATAGAACTCAATAGGATTTACTAAATTCCAATTTTTATTGATATTGTACTGTCTAAACCACATATGTTTTATATATATTACCTGGTATAATGATCTTATCTTCCCATTTGAAGGAAAATGTAAACAGCTATCCTTAATTAGTAGAGAAAAATGCATTTTATAATATCCAAAAATTAATTTAAGTCGTTTATGCATTGATATAAGATGATAACGAAGTATTTGAATTTAGTTTTCATCACAAACTAACATTAACTCAAGAGATATATAAAAGCAGTGAAGATTGTACAGGTCCTCCGTCCTACTCTGGGGCTTCTGGTTAGCGTCTAAGCATGATCCTACAAGGATTGGGTCTAGGACATGCATATCTCCCAATGCGCATCATAACTTTAAACCATTGGATCACAATCCAGTAATCATCTACAGTTCCATTACCAGGAAAATCGCGAAACAGCAGTGCTGTCACCCAACACTATAATATCTATCTCCTTGTGTGGTGTGTGCTACTTGTGTTAACAGATGTAAGTAGTATGTGACACCAATCAGAGGTGAAATACTTATCGTAAGAAGATTGAACTAAAGAAAACAGAAAGAAATTGGGATAAAATCAGAATTGGAAGAATCATGAAGGATGTAGAGGACAATTGATGGAAAATTTGCAAATGAAGTACTTAGTGTATGGTTTTCGTATTTTACGAAGACATTCTGTAATTTCCTGTTTAATAATAAACTGGTTTTCCCCACCAAGTTTTCGTTCGCTTCACTTGACATATTTAAACTCTACCAGTCATCTATTCTCACTGATTTTCAGTGGTTCTGTAGCTATTTTCGGTATTTGGTGAAAAATAACTTGATTTACCAGTGTTCACTATCTCTCTAATGCTTTCGTGTAGTTATTTATTGACTGAATTTAATATATTTCGGAAAAATATAGCAATTATAAGTAACAGTTTCACACCTATTAATCTTCTTTTTTCGTAGTAAGCTAAAATAAATTTTTATCATCAAGATTACACCAAATAAAAAATTAATCAAGACAAATACAAAGTAGAGAATTTTCCATTTATTGAATTGAACAGGGTACGAAATCTATCACAATTTTGGTTGGAACATTAAAGAGAATAGCAACACGATAAAGCCAGTGATATAATAACAAGGAACTTTCTAATCGACATATTAATCTGTCCAAAGTGTGAACTAATAGAAGGAAGTATCCATGTCTACACATCATGATATATAATAACTGACTGACATGGAGTAATGAAAGTTTAATGGTTGCGTATTTCCAGATTTTTTAAAAGATAATATTAATGAGGATACTATGAATAGTATCTTAAATTTACCATTTAGTGCCATTATTGTGTTCCGTTCATAAAAGTTACTTTTAGTGTGAATTATAGAAAAACATTTTAGAGTTTCAGCAGGAATTTCTTCATTTATTCACTTGCTAACTAGCTGTACACACCTTGTTCATCTTGCTCATTTTAATCCTCTTTTTTTTCTCTTCACCTGTATATTTGGTTCAAATGTTCTTTTACGTACAATGATTCATCGTTACTTGTAATCTGCATGCATACACATTTAGTTGTATATACCTAGGAAATTATATATACATGAATAATAGTGTGAATAATATTATGAATAATACTAAAACTGTTCAAGGTCATAGTTTAGTAGTCTATTTTGATTAAGGTCGTTAGTTATTAAAAAGTTACTTCAATTAAAGTCATAATAATAGTAATGAATATATCAGCATTTTTATTTTCAGTGGAGTAAGTTTACTGTACCTTAGGTACCTGTATTCATAATGAAAGTTATATTCAACTTATTGTCTAAAGTCTCGGTTTTAGTAATCTTCCGCTGAATTATATTCTTTAGTATAAATAATTTGCGGTAATAATAATAATATCGAATTAACATCTGTATTTAAAATCTTGCTGGTGTAACTACTTCCCACGTTATTTGCTACTATTACTCAAATTTGAATCTCTTCCGTCAAATAAAAGCTGTAATTGCTTGGTAAACAATGTTCTGAAATTTATTTAGTCTGTAACAGACACAATTCGATGTAAATTTTGAGGGTTTACTAATTACAAGCGTAAATAGAAAAAAAAGTAGCCAACACTCTAAACATCATGACAGTTGAACAACTAGTTAGACTTAACTATTTTAAAAAAAGTATATGCAATACAAATCAGATACTCAATTATTGAATGCTTAGAACTGTACTGAACCTTTAGACCTGAAAAAATTCATTGAAATTCATTTCCTAAATTTTAGTGCGTATATTGTGAGAAAACCTTTGTTCAATAAGACACTTCTTATTTCTATTTTATAAGAGAACTAAAAGATTATTGTTTGCATTGAATGTAAAACCCGTGATCAATTGCATAAATCTTCCATTTCATTTTTCTGTTTATCGTTTATTTGCTTAAAGCATACACATTTATGGACAATCAATTTTATGCTATTATACTCTGTATGGTCAGTTAACTAACTGTCCGTTATTCAATACAGTCTGTTCTGCTTGTTTTTTCACTTTTATTGTAAAAGTCTACAACGTACCAAAATATGGATGAAAAGTCAATTTATTGTCAATTTCTTATTTTCTTCGACTGTCTAATTTAACTGTTAACATGTGTCTGTTTACTCACACATATCATTTGTGTCTGTTGATTTATTTTGACTAAAAATGGTAAACATCGTCGAGGCTGAGTGACCTGTTAATTAGTATCATCCCAAATAACTTCCGTAATAATAGTTTTTCAGTTGGATTCTACCAGCATTAATTTTGATTCATATAATTACTGCAACCGTTTTCTTGATTATATATATATATATATATAATGAGAAATATTATTAAGTTTAATATCGACAAGAACTAATCGAGTTTCTACGAAAATTTCATGTAACTTTTTATTTCCTCTTTTTAGCTTCGAATTCAGTGATTTGTGTTGGACGTGTTTTTGCCTTAGATTTGGATGCTGGATTAAATGGGACAGTTGTTTATGAACGTGAATCTTTAACTAGTTTTCAGCTAATAACAGACGGTGGTTTTAATGTAATAACAAATAGTGGCTTGATTTGTACCAAAAATGGTCTACCACCAGTTGGGGAATATAGAATTCAAGTAGGTATACGGTTTTCATGATGTTATTTTCGTAGTGAAACATTCATCACTTCTCGTTTATCACGTATATATGTCTGAGCTTATCTTACTCATAGATATGTAACAATTCGTTCAAATCATTAGCTTAAATGAAGTGGATTGCAACAGTTATCACTCTAAATTGTAATAGTTTTGTAAGTACTTTTGAATATATAATGAAGCTATTTTTGTCATCAGGAACCATCAAAAACCACTTACCACTGGTGAGCTTTCTCTATTTTTAGATTCTTTACCATTGTATGTTTATTAATATAAAGGCATTACCATGGTGAGCATAATACTATTGAACTACCGAGTTGCAACAACATGTTCATATCATTCATTTGGCAGAACACTCGATCGTTGTTGCTACCTTGATGTGGTGGTCGAGCTTGCCTATCGTGATGAATCAATCGAGTTATACTAGTTGGAACAATCGTTACTCAAGTTACTACCATGTCAGACAGGTCGGTTGAAGAGCGGTAAGACTAAAAGCAACAAACCAAGGTCCGAAGGCGAAGTCATAATGCTGACTTTACAGAGGTGTGACAGCAGTAAGGTGTTTCCTTCAGACAACCAGCATAACAGCGATGCTGCCTTCCCACAAGGAGGGGTGGGGTTAGAATAGGTCGACCCTCAAAGTACACAATTCGCCTTATCCCATGGATATCCGTCTCCGGCGGTAAGGTCTCAACAAGTGCGGAGCTAACAGGAAAATTACTCACAAAAAGGTCGTGTGTGACCGACCTCAAGCAGTTGTCCCTTGGGCACTGCGGTCACACTCTCAGGTCACTAAGACCACCTCTAATCCAATTTCCTATTCAGGTAAATCTAAAACCCTTCCACTGTGATGGCAACCGGGAAGTGATAGCCGCCCTCATACCTCTAACAGCACTCAAGACTGACTTTAGTAGGACAGTTTAACACTTTCGGAAATACTCAACCGTTTGCACTATCAGTTTTCGCTTTGTTGATCTGAACTAATCGTCTCTTCGGATTACAACAAACACATATTACCCTCCAATCATTGTTAGGATTGAGCGTATAGCAATCTAAAAACTAGTCGATTTATTACGTAGCTTTATGATTAACCAATTTTTTTAGCTGAGATATGGTACCCTTCTTCTGACTTGATTTTTCTTGACTTGTCACCATATACTTAAATTGACAATATCCTAGTCATAGGTGGAGTGAGTGGGAAGCGGAAGAGTACTTAAATAAAACTGATTTTTATGTTTCTTGTTATTTTTTCTAAATAATTTTCTAGGTATATGCTAAAGATCAAGGTACTCCGAGTTTACGTTCAAATAAAGATCAATCAGCGCTTGTCTCTATTCGTATACTTAAACCTCCGACTGCTGATTTATCAGAAAGATTAGTTGAAGGTACTCATTCAATAAAATATACATCCATACCACCAAACACTTATTCAATAGATACCAACTGTATTATTGGTCAGAAACTTTTCAGCTTTTCAGTTTATGATTCTTATGATCCCAGTGGAATGGGATTAATATTTGAACTTTTAAGTAAGTTTGTCCCTTTTTTATTTATGAAAAAGTGTATCATGTCGTGATTTTTCCATTGTTTTCTATTTGTATAATTTCACAATTACTATTTGTGTCCTTTAATTACACGTTTATTTTATTTTGTGAGGATATAATTATTCTAGTTTTAGAATGTTCAAGTATTATCGATCTTTATCATTCGTTGCTTCTGTTTGTATGGCTATTGAGCAAGTCATGAGACACTATTTAGCATACTTGTGAATTTTTATAGGTAAATCTAATGTGAATTAAATTTTTAAGGATAAGGATAAACACTTCCATTCAAGGACTGTCCCTAACAATGATATTTAACTTATTTCTTTAAACTTAATAACTTAATTTATTCACCAGTTTAGTATAAGACTCATTAGCATTAGGAAAAATAATGAGAAGTTATCTTTTTCAAAACTAAAAAGCTATATCATGAGTGTTTAGTTAGACTATATATTCCTAAGCTATTGAACTGTATTTCAATTAAGAGTCCAGATTTTAGTACAAAAGAGTTTTATTTATGTTTAAATAACCTGAAAATATGTTGGATATCCAAAACCATAGATACACTGTTACTTAATTCCCATGCATAATCTTCGTTTGATCATTTTATTTCTGTGTAGTCCGTCTTTTCCACGTATCATGTTCTCCAACCACTCTGATTATCGAAAAACTTTCCTCTAAGACGGAGACTAGTAAAAATACTGATCATAAATTAACAATAGAAAATTTTTCCAGTCCCCATTCAACATCAAATCAAGATAATGACTAGCGTCTATAACCATAACATTTTGATTGTGTTCATATTTTTCATTTTCTTCATTAAGATCCTATAAATCTTTTTTAAAATATTTTCTATATAAAACACTAATACTAATCGAATGTTAAAGTTATTTAAAAAATACAATTACTAATCATGAATGTTGGTTGTATTGAAAACAGAATGTAAGTTGACCACCACTGTCAATATCATTCATTTATTTCCATAATTCATTTTCATTCTCGTTTTTGCTGTCGTTTGATCTCATTAATTGTCGGTAGTTTATTTCATAAATAATACTGTTTTTCTTCAAACCAATTTTTCATTACTTTTTTTTACTCCTTATTGGATATATTTTATTATTAATTAATACTTCTATACCAACTGTAATTATCATGACTTCCAATTTATCGATAATAAATCCCTGACTGATGTAGGGAATTTCCTCCGCATTATACTTACACACTATGCCTTGTGGCGTAAAAGCGAAATAGTGAAATATCGTAGTTTACAAAGCGTTTATGCTGTTTGTTTATTGTCGGACAATAGTCATATCGATACTCGGCTTTTCATATAGTCTATACGATTGCTAAGTTATTTTCCTACACACGCTTCGTTCAATTCGTTTTCGAATTTCCTAAGCGCATATCTCTCTTATGATGCATTCATCTGGTTAAGATTAAGCACAGTGAAATTTTGTTATTGCGTTTTATTTCTTTTCTAAAAAAAACTACAAACTAAACTGTGTAATGTTTGTTTTTTGGTAAGCATACAGATTTTTTTTTCAGTAAAGACAAAATTCATAATCATTTCCGTATTCCATTTATCATTACAATTTCAAGTTGAATTTTGACTGATTTACATAATTTTTCAATATTCCTCAATTTTTGACTTCATTTACTTCATATTTACCGTCATCCAACCATCATTAATCACAACTATTATTGTTGTTAACATTGTTATTATGTTTTTTTTAATGGATAATATATGCTCCAGCTTGTTAAAATGAAAATAATCTAGATATTATTTCTAGTAGACAATGCTATGAGTGTTATTTTTAAACAATAAGTTTTATCATTTCATCGAAATGTGTTTTAGGTTTCGTCCGATCTATCGATTTTCTTCAGTTATTGTGATTGTTGACTTAGATGTCTAGAACATATGTTGACATTATATCCAGTCATCGTAAATTTACATATATGCTATGTTGAATGGGGAAAGATTTCATATTATATTAACTAAATTATGTCATCAATCCATTAAATTATCAATTAATTGATTTCATTCTACTGAAGATTGTAGTATTTCTGGTCAGTATCTGAAAAAAGCACAAATCGGTCGTTGAAAATTTTAGTTGAGATAATCAGTTTTAGACAAACTTATTATTAGGTTATTTTAAAGATCCAAACATAATGTTGTTAGTATTGATGCTTCTTAAGGTTTTTCGTGTTGACTGTGAGTTGTGATAACATGTTTCCATTACTGTCACTGGTGCTATATATTGTTCAATTCAGTTAGTAATCATTTTCGTTTAGATAATTCAATGAATGTTAAATTGAAGTGGATGATTTTTTAGAAAGTGGGTTTAGATGGAATTATATGGTATATGTGTATTGTGTTATTGGCTAGTCGATTGAAAGTGGTAGTGATTTAATAGACCTATGATAAACTCTAAGAAATTTTTCTCAGGATTATGATTATAGGTTACCGTTCAATGTAAATAAACAATCCTTATGTAAAATACTACAGTTGAAACCATACTGTATACGTATTATGTTGAGTAGTAAATATTTATCAGTGCCGTTCTCATTTATATTTAGTTATAGTTTTCTTTTCTTTTTTTGTTTTTTCTCAAGCGTCCAATCATTCCTATCATCATCCATTCGCAGTTGGCTATTCTACACCAACCAGTTTATTTGTCTATTTAGCTGAACATTTAGAATATCATTTGTCGCCTATTCATAATTTATTATTGATTGTTTCAAATGGTTTAGAGATGATAACTACTAAGGTAAATATTAGTAATTTATAATTGTTTTTTCCGTGTATGTTTCTGTTTGTATGCAGTTTGAGGTTATTTCAATGTCCATATATTTGCTTCGTATTCATATTTATAGTAGACTATGTACATGAACCCAAACATACAAAATGAGATTTTATTGGAAATCTACTTGTGTTTCATGTTTATTTCTTTTCCTGTATTGAAATAAGTCCAGCAAAGTTAATATTATTTTTCAACAAAATTATAGAAATCATTTTGATATCTGTTGAAATAGATTAACATCACTTTTTTAATCATTTATTTCAACACATAAATATTGGTACAAGAGGGCACCAAATATATATGCGCCACACTTTTTCAGTAAACATATCATTTTTATCTTCATTTTATTTGTGTGTGGGCTGTGATACTGCCAGGGTGTCCAGATCGAAGCAGGTGGTTTTCTTAGAGGGCTACACCTCGAGCCTTTGACCTAAAGGTCTAACCCACAAGGCAGTGGAGCATCGTGAGGAGATGCAGTCCCATGATAGCCGGTGACCAGCGATTGGTTCATACGTCATTTTTTCCCTCAGGATACTGGAGCCTATGTGCACCATTGGTTTGGGGTCCGGTTAAGGCGCCGGAAATTCGCTTTTCGTCCTCTCATTTTCGTAAACAACACCCCCGCCACGAGAAGGCAGTGAGTAGGACTTCCCTGGCAGAGTCTGCATACGCGTGGCCGTGTGAGAGTATTTCGAGAGGGAGGGCGGGCCCACCCCACTCTCTGCCACATCAGGGCCGCAGCTTAACCTGTTCCAGCCCGTTATTCAATTAACATGACTCACTTATCATTAGTTTTGATGTTTTCAAAATGTAAATTAACAAATAGTTATTTCACTTGAAATATTTGTACACAACAATCGAGAGATTTTATCAGTTCATTTTTCTTGATCATTAACTATTTTGATATTGGTTTGATTAGACCTCGCTATTGTTTAACAGTCAATTATTACTTATTCGTTCCTAGTGAATATGCTGAGGCATGTTGTGAAGTGTGATATTATTAGTTTGAGGATCTCAGAGTGTTGAATCCGGATAGCCACTGTTATATCTGACGTCTCGTTGTTGTAAGGTCGTGAGTCTTGTCGTTTATATTTCGAGACGGCAATCATTCCAATTTCCAAGACGCAAAATGAGAACGCGAAAAACTGGTTCAATGAAGATTTATAAGCTTTCCAAAAATACATCTCATCGCCATTCGAATTTAATACAATCATTTATATAGTCATTTTTACATACAGATATAATGTATTTCTCTATTTTATTTTTTTCAAATGGTATTTCATATGTTTAGTTTTTGCTATTGTGTCAATTTTTTCAGCTCCTTATTATATCTTCCCGCTCTTATAATACATACTCTTTTTTTTTGCTGACCCAACGTTATTTATGACTGATTCTAAGGTTTTTCACGATATTTTACAAGTATATTCTCACCTAGTGTAATTACCACTCTACCAATGGTTTAACATTTAATTCTTAACTAAGATAAATCGTTGTAGCTAATTTTTCTATTCTTGATTGGTGGATTTACTTTGATGCTAGTAAATATACTATTTAGTTCATTGTATCATGTTGCAAATCGAAATTCTAAATGTATCAGTTTGAAATATCTCGATAATTAAAATCACTTTTCGATAATTGGTGTTCACAGTGTGAATCAAAATTTCATCATCTTTTCCAACTGTTTTTCATCATTTCTTAGTGTACTGTTGACAGCATCATAGCATTATTAGCATTGATTCCATCTCAATAATTTTATTTATCTTTGGATACTCATTCCTTATTTTGTTTTCCAATATCATTAGTCTACTAATTGGCTGGTAGTTTTTAACTTCAAAATTTTCTCTATTCATCTGAATAATAATAAACTTATTTCATCACTCCACTTGATTCTACTTTAGTTTCTATGCTCTGTTTTCTTTCTTAAAATACTTTTTATCACATTCGTGTTCATAAGTTTTAATGTTTACATTTTAAATGTTAGCTACTTTAAATAGACCGCTAATAAGTGTGTATAATCCCTATGTTTAGGAATATGCTCTGATAAACAGTATACTAAATAAATAAACTTGTGTGTTATATAATTAAGACTTTTTTAAGTCAGTTATTTAGCTATAAGTACTAAAAGTTTGTTTTTGAATAGTTATTTCTTCGCTTATTGTTTTTATGAGTACGAAATTTGGTATCTTATTCTGTGTGCTTTCGTTCTTCATGGACTGTTATTGATATGTGTGTGTATTATGCATACCTTATTCTTTAAGCATAGTGATTTAAAAGTGTTGTCAAGTTGTTCACGATCACATGGTCATCAAGTTGTATAAAATATGTGGCTACCAGTGTATTACTACTCAAATGTGCGAAATATTTTGAGTTTGTCTGATATTTTTGTTCTTTTCTCATAATTAAGCTGTTCATAATATTTTCTTCATATATTTTACAGATTGAAATTACTGTGAAACCAACTATTCGATCAAGTCCGAAATTTCTTCTACATTCAATCACTTCAGAATCTGTAGGGAATATAAATATTACTAATTGTCGCAACCAGAGGAAAATTCATCTCTATCTGATAATTATCATCAACACATAATTATTCATGTAAATATAACAGAGTCTACACTAATTGGAAGTCTTGTCTGTCGATTGTATGTGGAAGAGTCAGGTATAGATTTCATGAACAAAATACACTATTCGATAATATCTGTTGAACATAGTCAGACATGGGATTTGTTTACTTTGAATGAAAATACCGGTGAGTAGTATGTTTTTGCTTTTTTGGCAAACTAAATTTGTATAACATCCATTCAATTAATTATTTTCTGTTTGTCACGTGATAGGCATGTTTAAAGTCCATGTTAGTTATTTTTGACTGATTAAACGTCTGTTACATTTGAGTTTTAAACTTAAAAAAGTGGATTACTATTTCCATCATTAATATCAGAAATCCTGTAGACATTTGAAACAAAAACTTACAATGTTCTCTGTATTTTGTTATTTCATCATCAAACTTCAGGAATGCATTTTTCGGAGTCACTACTGATAAAATCATTGAGTTTAATTATAGTGAAATGATCATACTGAAAAATCGATTCTTTGGGAATATCAAGAAATTTTCATTTTCATTAGGAAACTTCCTAAATTCATAGGCTTCTATCAATTATTGAATTTTTATGTCTGTTTACCTTACAACATTCTAGTTTTACATAAAACAAAAATATCCTAAACATTCACTTTTATTACTATAATTCTCCGATGATGTCAGAATTACGTGTTCACATTGGAATGTTTTTATTTTAAACCATTTCATTGTTTCCTTTTCATATACAATCATTTTTGACGTATCTTTTGCAAATTCTCCTAGTTTATTTTGTTTTTAGTGATGAGTGTATTTTGTTTGACGAGATGAAAAGAAAGGGATAGATAAATGAGAAAAACCATTTCTCTATATGTTCTTAAGAATTCAAGTCTTATTTTATTTATTTGGTTGATTAACCCGATTAATTTTGACTTCAGCCTCTCTTATATATGTAGTTTACTACTGTCCAAATACATACTTATACCGTTCTATACTTGTTCATATTTCCATGCCTGTTTCTTTAGAATGAGTTTCATTTCAGAATGAATCACTATTCACTGAGACTATATGCAAAATTATTCCTGACATTGTATCAAATTCCTTATAGTAATAATAATAATAATAATAATAAATATGTTGATTGAAATGAAGTACATTTCATGATATGTTTATATACAATAGTGGCAATCTTTTTGATAATTAATTAATTTTTCTACTATTCACCCACCCAATCTTCATAGCTTCTTTCTTCTTTTCCTGATGTGTTTTTGTTTATTTACAACCTTATTTTCATTCTGTAAGGGGAGATAGTGAATAATTGATATTTTAGGTAGTGTTATAAACTTAGTAAAGGGTTGGAAGAAAAAAAAGAAGTAACAATAATTAATGTTAAAGATTTTCTGTTTCTAATTCCATGATAAAATAGTCTAACAGAAAACATGAAAGGCTAATATTGTATTTAGGTTTTGTTTAGAAGATAAATCTTAATGCACCATTAAGATTTTTTAAAGAAAATTAGTTTCTTTGTAAAATGCAAACTGTCGTAGTTGTTCAGCAAAATTGTAACTTCTGCTAAGACAATGCTTTGACGTAACCACATACACACCTCCAGTCGATACTGTTTCACCCAACTTCAATAACTGTTAATCTGATTTATCTAGTACTTCATTGTCGATCGACATATTTCGAATTCGGTGGCTTCAATATAAATTAATGTTACTACTAAGTAGTCAATGGTCAAAAATATTAAACATCATGTTTTCATTCTTTCAATGTACAAACCTCAGCATTAAGAGGTTTTTTGGTTTCTTAAAACAGCTGCATAACTCGACAATATTTCAGTGTAGTATTCCTTTCTACTGTTTAACTTTTCTCATATTTACCTTTGCCAAACTTCTTAAAGGTTACACTAGTGTCTGACTTTTACACTAGACAATAATACCCATGATTCATCTAATATATGGACAACAAAACTTATAAGCATGTATAATTTTCAATTTTCATTATTGTTCCCATTAATTGTTTACTTAAGAATTTGAGCTTACTCATTTTGAAAATTTGTCTGTATATGTGTATGTTGGTTTTGTTGATTTAAAACGATGAAAATTTAAATGAATTATTTTGTTGGATTATTATAACCTTCCTTTTTTAAATAACCATATTCGTATGAGGGTTCTGCTCTTGACTTTCGATTCGCAAATTGTTTTATATAAGGCTGAGATACTCTTACATCTTCTATTTATACTATTGTTTGATGATATTTCAGTTTCTGTTTATTGTTGAAAAAATTGACAGAATAAAAGGGTTTTTTAATTCCCATATAAAAGTTACTTACTTACTTACGCCTGTTACTCCTCGTGAAGGAGCATAGGCCGCTCACCAGCATTCTCCATCCAACCCTGTCCTGGGCAATCCTTTCTAGCTCCGTCCAGTTGTAGTTCATCGTTTTCATATCTGCTTCTATAATCCGACGCAATGTGTTCTTTGGCATTCCTCTTTTTCGCTTCCCTTCAGGATTCCAAGTTGGGGCTTGCCTCGTGATGCAGTTTGACGATTTGCGTAATGTATGTCCTATCCATTTCCATCGTCTTTTCCTAATTTCTTCTTCAGCTGGAAGTTGGTTTGTTCTTTCCCACAGAAGGCTATTGCTGATGGTATCCGGCCAATGGATGTTGAGTATCTTGCGTAGACAGCTATTTATAAATACTTGTACTTTCTTGATTGTGGTTGTTGTAGTTCTTCAAGTTTCAGCTCCATACAGTAGAACTGCCTTGACGTTCGTATTGAAGATTCTTACTTGATATTGGTTGAAAGTTGTTTTGAGTTCCATATGTTCTTCAATTGTAGGAATACGACCCTTGCTTTGCCTATCCTCGCCTTTACGTCTGCATCTGAACCTCCTTGTTCATCGATGATGCTTCCTAGGTATGTGAAGGACTCTACATCTTCCAGAGTTTCGCCATCAAGAGTGATTGGATTGCTGTTCTCCGCTTTGAATTTGAGGACCTTGGTTTTCCCTTTGTGTATGGTGATGCCTACTGATGCAGAGACTGCTGCTACACTGGCTGTCTTCATCTGCATCTGTTCGTGTGTACGTGATAGGAGGGCTAGGTCATCTGCGAAGTCCAAATCGTCTAATTGGTTCTGTGCTGTCCATTGTATGCTGTGTTTTCCTTCAGATGTCGAGGTCTTCATAATCCGGTCGACCACCATTCTGGAACACATGCTTAGACTCAGATCATGCTCTAGTACGAGCGCGTATCTGTCTGCGTCTTACTGGACGTAGGAAAGACGCTGCAAGGAAACCTCTTAGGGCCCTACTTAATGATAGTCAAGCTAAGAGTATATTTCAGGAACAACTAGGAAAACAGTTAGGCAGCCATGTATGTGATGCCCACCCCGAGGCAGCATGGAATGATATCCGAAAAGCTGTGGAAACAGCAGTGATATCTGCTAGTAAGGTAAACCGTAAGGTTAGGGAGCAACACTGGATCTCAGCAGCATCTATCTCACTGATAGATGCTCGGAAACTCATTCCACCTGGCTCTGAACATAATGAAGAGCGGAGTCAGCTTAAGCGCAAGCTGACAAGAAGTCTACGCAATGATCGTGAACAGTGGTGGGTAGCGAAAGCAAGAGAGATGGAAAAGGCAGCGGCAATAGGTAATAGCAGACAATTGTTCAGACTTGTTAAGGAAACCGACCGTTAGCGAAACAATCTCAGAGAAAGATGGACATATTATACATTCTCAATCCAGGAGATTGGATCGATGGGCAGAACACTTTAGGGATCAGTTCAACTGGCCTTCAGCCACACTTCGGTTTCCCACGATCTCCAGTCAACCTGAATGGCAAGTTAATGTAGGTCCTCCGTCCCTTTACGAAGTTGAAAAAGCCATAGGAAATCTGAAACGAGGGAGAGCAGCAGGCCCTGACAGGTTTACTCCTGAGATTTTTAAGGATGGTGGTCCAGTATTAGCAGTGAGATTAACTGAGGTCTTAGGTAGAATTTGGGAACTGGACGTAATCCCATCTGACTGGTCTCAATCACTGATTGTGCCAGTCTATAAGAAAGGACAAAAGTCCTCTTGTGACAATCACAGAGGAATCAGTTTGACTAATATAGTGTCTAAAATATTAGCTTCAATAATACTTCGACGCCTAACTAAAGCTCGTGAAGAGCAGACTAGAGAAAATCAGGCCGGTTTTCGACCTGGACGTGGTTGTATAGATCAGATATTCACACTACGTCAGGTTCTAGAACACAGACACACATTCAGACGCCCCACAATGGTAGTATTTCTCGACCTTAAGGCGGCATTCGACTCTGTTGATCGTGAGGTTCTATGGCAGTGTTTGTCACTGAAAGGAGTACCAAAGAAGTACATTAACCTTATAAAGGCTCTCTACTCGAACACAACTGGTAGAGTGAGAGCTTATGGCGAACTGTCATCAGAATTGATTACCTCAAGTGGTGTTCGTCAGGGCTGTCCACTCTCCCCATTCTTGTTCAACTTTGTGGTCGACGTACTTTTAGAGATAACACTCTCCTCATCTAAATTTCCAGGGGTTGAACTTCTACCAGGAGGTTCACTTGTTGACTTAGAATATGCTGATGACATAGTTTTATTTGGTGAAGACGCTGACAAAATGCAGAGTCTTCTGACCACTCTAAGCAACAATGCAAGCATGTTCGGGATGCGATTCTCTCTCTCGAAATGCAAAATGTTGCTTCAGGATTGGGTTGCATCGACACCCGAACTAATGATAGGGAGTGAAGTAGTTGAGCGTGTCGATCGCTTCACTTATCTTGGAAGTCTCATCAGCCCTTGTGGTCTGGTGTGTGACGAAATCTCAGCACGGATACAGAAGGCTCGACTAGCTTTTGCCAACTTGCGTCATTTATGGCGTAGGCGAGATATCCGTCTATCAACCAAAGGACGGGTTTACTGCGCAGCAGTTCGTTCCGTCCTACTTTATGGCAGTGAAACATGGCCGGTAAGAGTAGAGGATATTCGTAGGTTACTAGTATTTGATCATAGGTGTCTTCGAAATATTGCTCGTATATCCTGGGACCATCGAGTAAGTAACGCAGTTGTTAGGAAACGGGTACTAGGTAAGGATGGCAAATCAATTGATGACGTAGTGAAACTTCATCAGTTGAGATGGCTGGGACA